CCCAGCATTATACCAATCCCAGTCCATGGAATTTTCAGCTGGAAACACTGGCTGTCTTTCAGCAGTTAACAAAATTTCACTGACTGCTTTGCATGGAGATTCCTCTATGGCTGCTCCAAGTTCTTCTTAAGGATGGTTCATCAAGATAAAAGCTGTGAGCACTCACCTGAGTCTCAAAGGATTCAGACAAAAAAGCTTTAAGACAGAAGTTAATTTTTGCATCTAGGGTGTCAGAACAGCCCTCCTGCTTCCAAAAATGGAGAGACAAATGGATAGAAAGGATTTATGCACCTAAAACCAGGCTTTGCATGACTTTGGGGCGTTTGGTCTGAGAACTGGGGAGTTGCTTCATCAGCTGCAGCCAAAGCTTGGAGAGCAGAGTCATCACAGCCACGTTGTCCTTTCACAGGGCAAGTTCAGTAAATCCATAATCTAAGGGATTTGGACGGGGTTTAATTTTCCTAATCAGCTTAATTCCTGACAACAAAGTGAGAGATCAGATTGTTTTAAATGGCAGGACTCCAAGCAACAAACTTCAACGTAAGCATTAATGCCAGCAACTTGGGATATTATCTGGGAATTATTTACTGACTGAGAAAAGTTCCTGGTTTGAAAAAGAGTTGAGCAAATTTCTATTTATAATTACTTCGTTTCAGGGCACATCCTGTAGAGCTCTTTCAGGAAAATTTCTAGGAGCTACAAGAAGGATTTTGGTATAAATATGCCCATCAGTACTTGATCTTTATGGACAATAACCTTTGGGGTTTAGGGTTTTTTTTAGGTCAATGCTTATGAGCAAGTGACATCACCAGAGCACAGATCACCACTTATTTACCCTTGTGCAAGCAAAAGAGTGTCAGTTATTGATGCTTCAAAACACACTGCAGTATTTTTATATTGCATCCAGAGACCTCAAATTTACATCTGAAACCTTTTGTTTCAAGTGTCTTATTTGTAAAATGAGCTTAAAGCAATATTTAGCTATTTCATGGGGTTTTGTTGTTAAATTACTGCTGACTGCCCTTGACTAAAGTATTTCAATGGGCAAAATGCATCTCTTGGTAAATAGGCAGCAAATGTAAAGGCTTAAGCCATTTAGCATTCCCTGCAATTATTTCAATGTGCACCCAAACAAACCCACTGCTCTGCTTAGACATCTCATGTCAGGTGCAATAACATGCTGTGACGTGAAATATTCAAGTTAATGCTGAATAAAATTATTATTTGCACAAAATATTCATACCTTCCTGAGTTAGAGTTTTCAAAGGCTCTCCTTTTGTTTGTTACTCTGGGAAGAAAGTAGGTGGTTCAGCTTTTGGGATATTCTCCTTGGGCAGTGAGCAGAGAGAGTGAAAAAATGAATAACTACATTTAATTTGGTGAGAAAACTTACTACCTGAGCATTTAGGCAGCTTGAAAACATCTTTAAAATCAGGGAATCAATTCTTGGTTCTATGAATATCCAAATCCAAACATCTGTGTGTGAGGTAGGGAAGGATCTCTCCAAGGGCTCTTTAAGCAGCCTCTTGGCTTGAAGCTTTTAATATGTTCTTCTCTAAGATGAGCAGCTTGAAACCTGTCTGTGGTTCTTCTGAGCATCATTAGCAGCAACTTCTTAAGCACAGGAGCATTTTCCAAGAACACTTTGAGGCTTCAGTTGTTGTACAGTGAGTGCCCAACAGGCTCCCTTTTAGAGACCTCACATTTTTATTCACTTTGTCTTAACACCATTTTTTCCCTTCTCCTAAAATTGCTGTTTGGAATTGAAAAGCATGAATTCAAACTAGAAGACCAGCACACATAAGTGACATCAAGGCTTTTCTGCATAGAACACCTTCCAAGTGACCACAGTTTTTATTTTGACTGTTCATTTATACAAATTAGCAGGAACACTCTGCCTGTTGCATGGTAATTCAAATAGGAAAGGGAAAAAAAAGAGGAAAACTGGAAGGCAAAGTTGAACCACTGCCCTAGGATACAATTGTCCCTTTCTGGGAGTTCAGTTTTTTCCACTGAGTCTAGTGTTGGATAATCTCTGCTCTTTGTATTTTTGGTTCGAAGAAACTCTGGGAAGTTTCTGCCTTTGTAGAAAGATATTTGTATTTCAACCTATTTTTTGGAAATCCCTTGTGAGTGGTGGTGCAGGTGTAACACAGGCCCCTCTGGGAGCTCAGATCACTTCAGTGGCCTGTCCCTGGAGGAGCTCCATTTCTCACAGCATTTCCTGGGGCAGATTAGAAAACACTGAGACTCTGGACAGGTGGATAAAGTCAGGGATTTCTTCTGGGACTTTCTTCCCTGAGTCATGTTTTTGCTGAACAACACCAATGTCTAATGTGAGCTACAGAAATTTTCTTTCCTGTTCCTGCTGAAATACTGCTCATCCTACCAAGAGTGTGCATTTTAGGGAAACAAAGCATGAAAAGAGATTTCTACTTCCTTTTCAGTTTCTTTCCTTTTCAGGGAGCAGGTTTTACCCTGGCAGCTGAGCTGCCAGGAAAGGAAAATCTGTGCAGCATTTGACCCACAGCCTTACTTCCCACAGCTCAATATTGAGAGAATTTCACTGAGCAGAACTTCTTATAACACCACCAATCAGCTTTCATATTAAAAAATATACCAAAAGTCAGCTCTGTGGGTTTTGTAGGGAAACAAATGATCCAGATTATTGTATACAAATATATATTATTTACAAATATATATTACTATATACAAATACACAAAGAGGTTCATCCAACGCTTAGATTTTTATGACTACAGGTTTGCAGGATAAAATCATCATCTGCTATGAAGGATTCCAAGGATATCATCCATATGGAGACTTTGAGCTTGTCTAAATAATTTGAAATAAATGTTGAGGCATAAAAACTATTATTCTTTATGCCACTAAAACTTAGTGATACAGTGATAAGTGATAAGATTTGAAAAACCCAGCCTTATGCTAAATAACACTTAAGAAATAAAGAACAAGGTAGAGAACAGGGTCTATTTATCTTACATATAAATCAGGAGGTCTCTGAAACTCACAGGCACTGAAGAAGCAGCTTATTTGGGAAAATTGAAACATTTCTCCTCGGGAAGATCCCACTCCAGAGGAAAGTTCCCTCTGAAGGGGAGAGGACTTCTTGACAAGAAGATATTTGGACATTAATTTTTTTAATTAATGCTCCAGGATATTCACACAAAGACACAGATATCGACTACTATGTAGGATATATTTTTAATTGGAAAAGGCCATGCCAGCTGAGCTATAAAACAAGCACAGGCTGTTAGATATAATAATAGAGAAAAAAGACTGGGGGAAAAAAGTGAGTTGTGAAAAAGAAAAGAAAAAAGTCTATTTAGTTAAAAGAGACTTCCCAGGACCCTGGAGCCAAGGTAGAAAAAACCTGGAACTTATCATGACCATCACGAACACTGCTCAGGGATGCAGGGATGTTGATACCATGGAAATGGCTCTTGTATTCAGGATTATCTGACATGATTCACATATAAATGAAGATAGTTCAGATTTTGGAGCAGTAATGACACGCATCCAAACCTGCAAGTGTTAACAGTGCATGTCCATGTCCTGCATAGGGCACTGTGGGATAGAGAGGCAAGAAATTAAAAGGGAATTTTGTTTTCCCCTTTCAGCCAGAAATGAGGGGTGTAAGCTGCAGCTCCTGATGCACAGATACATGCCACTGACTTCAGGGTCAACCAGATCTCACTGATCTGATGCTGACCTGAGGCAAATATAGCCAATATTTCTGTAAAATTAAATCCCTTTATTTGCTTCTGTAAATATTTTTATATAAAATAAGTATCAGAGGTACTAATTTTGCTTTTATTTTACTCTTTTTGCTTCTGAGAAAGATGACTGCATGTGGTTAACTGGGAGAAAGGTCTTGACAAGGCTGTTGAGAAGCCAAAATTGTGCCCTTTGCAAGTGCAGACATGGAAGAGCTGATGGAGGGGAGCAACACTGGTGGTGCAAAGCTGAGGGATCCCACTGGCTACTTGGCTGCTGCTGCAATCATGGAATGGTTTGGGTTGGAAGGACCTTAAAGCTCATCCAGTCCCACTCCCCTACCATGGACAGGGACACTTCCCACTAGCCCAGGTTGCTCCAAGCCCCTTCCAACCTGGCCTTGGACACTTCCAGGGATGGGGCAGCCACAGCTTCTCTGGGCAACCTGTGCCAGGGCCTACCCACCCTCACAGGGAAGGATTTCTTCCTAATTAGCTGCAAGAACACTTTTCTACCTTTTCCCAGCGGGCTGAGCTGGCAGACACAGCTGTAACCCCCTGGGAGCTGCGTCCTGTGCTGCCCTTTGGAGCACCGAGGCCAAGACAAGAAAGAAAATCCTGGGGTTCTTCCATCTCCACTTTCCAGTGTCCAAGAGTCTCTGCACTCGTGGTGATTGTCCTTTACCTGTGTGACACTAGCACTAAAAATCTATGCATTGCAGCACCCAATGGGGGGGTGCCCAGATCCTTCCTGGCCCTTTTCCTAAACTCCAGGATGTTCAGTGGTCCCACCTGGAGCAGCCAAGGACATGCTGGATATGGAGCAGTGTTATCTGCCAGCTGAGAGAGAGCTGTGATAATGTAATTTTTGGATGTAAGTTCATCTAACCCCTTCAGAGGGATTAGCCCCAACTCCTTTTAGTACTGAAGTCAGGGAGAGTGTTCAGCATTTCCATCAAAGCCCAAACACTGCAAGACCTGGGCAGTCAGACCTGAAATAAATCAGGTAAAACGCTTTTTCTAAAACACTGTTTGCAGAACTGGTGAAGAAAATGCCAAATTTTTTCAATGACCTTTTAAGCTATTTTCTGCTTTTAGTGTTAAAAACATCCATTTTGTCTTTGCATTTAGAGGCCTCCTTTTCCTCTCATTTATTTGAGCTCTAGATAATTATTCTAATTAAAAACATGTAAAAGCCAACAAATGCAACAGAAGTATTTTCTCTTTTGAAAACCATGGATAATTACCTCCCATATCCATTACTTAGATACTTTGTGACACCTTTTTATTTTGCTTCTCTGACATTTTTGTCTTCCTGCAAATGCAAATCTCACATATTGATTGATTTCTGTAGCATTTTATCCCAATACATGACATTAGCCATAAAAAGCACCATTTTATTGTACTACAAAACAAAACACCTAGCCAGATACTTTCTCCATTCCATACTAAGGCTTCAGTGCTTTAATAGCATAAAAACAAACTAGAATTTTGGTTAAATAGTCTCCTCTGTGGGTAACAGCTCCCCATTTCATTATTAAACTTGGGAAAGTATTATTTAGAAATCAGAAGACCATATAGAAACTTACTCATTGAAAATAATAGTTAAAACTGAGTCAGAAGGCTGGGTATCAAAGGAGAAGATTGAAAAGAGAAGTTATAAAATGTCAGATGTGTTTCCTTTCTAAATATACAGGAATCTCAAGGTACTATAACATGTACATGAGAAAAATTAATAGAGAGGCTCTTAAGTCATCTGGGATTCTACAAATACCACTTACAAATTACACATTATAAACTGAATATCTCTCAAAATCAGGTGTTCTGCTGTACAGATACTGGTTATGTGGTTTTTATCAGTAAGTAACAAACCAAATAAATCTTGTTTCCTGGATTCCTCTTTCCCTCACCTCTCTATAAGGTCTGTGTTCTCCTTATGGTGTGACTTCAGCACAGGCCTTCCTAAACTCACTAATGAAGGAAGATATCCATCCAAAGAGTTCTTGGGAGTCCAGGTCTTGTGGCTCCCCAAACTTTACCTGTAAATATGAAAGACAAAAATATTTAATATTAGTGTATCCAAGGAATCTAAACCATGTCCAGGATCTTAATGAAATTTTAAAAAGCAAGATAAAAGTTAAATACCTTCATTACTGTTAATATTAATATAAAAAGGAAGAAGAGGTGGACGAAGAAGGGGAAGAGGAGGAAGAAGAAAACTTTGAGCTGTCTGAAATCTCCAGGGAACTGAAATCCTAAATATGGTTTATATTTCATGGCAGGCCAAAATGTTTCCCTTTTCTGTCATTTTGCTTTGCAAACAAACAAAAATTATTCATAAGGAAGTAAATATTTTTGGGCAAGAAAGTAATTTATCAGAGAGCCTTTCCCTGTTCCTTCTTTAATCTGAAAAAGGTGAACAGATAGGAAGTTTTTAAAAATTCCTCTCTGTGAAGGTGGTGAGGCCCTGGCACAGGTTACCCAGAGAAGCTGTGGCTACCCCATCCCTGAAGTGTCCAAGGCCAGGTTGGAAGGGGCTTGGAGCAACCTGGGCTAGTGGAAGGTGTCCCTGCCTATGGCAGGGGGGTGCAACTGGATGAGCTTTAAGGTCCTTCCAACCCCAACCATTCTGTGATTCTATGAAATCCAAAGAACATGCTCCAAAGGCTTCATCATAAAGAGACTCCAAGTGCTGATCCTGGCTGTAATTGAGAGCTCCCCTGTAATTGTGGGATCAGCTCTCCCAAGGCAGAACAGCAATGAAGTTGTAGTTCACAACTTCAAATTGCAGCTGAAATACAGGGGGAGGTTTGGGCAGATCTGGCATTCCCAAAAAGTGTCCACCTGGACACCATCTAACAGCTCTTAGGAGCAAACCCTCTGCCTGGAAATCAGAAACACAGCACCAGAAACCACTCAAATACAACCCAGTCACAAAAACTTTAACATTAAGCACTGACACCTGATTAATAGTTTTGCCTGTATGTTCCTAATTGCACCTTCTGGGTTCTCCAAGCCCTTCATCTCTGGCACATCTGGCCCATGATGTGCCATCAGTTAAACAGTAATGAGAGAGGCATTTCCTGGAGCTAATGACCATCTGTGAGGAGCTGAGAGCCCACAGTTATGCCACAGGCAGTTGTCCCCAACTTATTGCTCATCCCACAGAAATGTCACATGCCAAGGTCACTATTGATTTCATAAGCAGGATATAAAAGCATCAAGGTGGGCCTGTGGAGTTTTGGGTTATGTGTAACATGATTTCCATGGCTATTCCAACACAATTCCAGATCAGCTATTCCAGGTGAGCTGGACTATACCTGTCTAGTGCTGTTGGGATGATAAGGTGGCTTTTGGTCACCCATTCTATTTTATATTTGCTTTACATTTGTTGATGCTTTATAAACATGCAAAAGGATTTGCTTTGCTTGTTCAGAAGAAAAAAAATTCATTCTAAAGGAGAGAAATACATCAAAAAAGTTATTTAGAGAATAACAGGGAAAGGAAGGTAAAAAGGATCTGGCTTAAAGGTTGAGAAAACTTCCAGCTACGTGGAAAATGAAATCCTCTTCAGATGCAAATAAGAGTCTCAGATGTTCTTGGTTTTCAACTTTTTTGAAGGCTTGGGACAGAGTTCTCTATGTGCTGCAGACTAATCTGGCTTGCTGCCCTAAGCTGAGGTGTTATTCCAGTTTGCAAGAGCCACAAAGAAACCCCTGTGCATTCTTACAATATTACTTTTACTAAAACATCACTAATTAAATTTCCTTGGTCAAACATCTCTCTAATCTGCAGTGTCTGTTCAGGTAGGACCCCAAAGGCCTTCCTGGCTGCATCTTCTGTGTAACATTTGCTCATCATTGAACTTCTCTGCTTTTAATCCCTCCCTCTGACAAAAAAAAAAAAAAAAAAAAAAAGGAGAAAAAGAAACACCACAAAAACCACCACCACACTTAAAATCATGTCCCAAACCAGGACATTATTCTGGTTTCACAGGTCAGCACTGCATTTCAGCAACCCCCTTCCTTAAAGCTTCTGACCACTGTTAGATGAAAGGTTTTGCTTTTCTTTCTATAGACTGTATAACTATCAAGCACGTGGGAATTTCTTGTGCTTCTTTCCACTTCTTTCTTCCCCCTCTTTTTTTTTTTCTTAAAGAAATGTAGATTTATTTTCATTGCATTTTAATATGATATGTACCAGTACGTTGCTATAAAGCTTCTTCATTTCATCACATCTTTTTGACAGCTGGGATAGATCCCCTTCATATTTCTGAATTAAATCCTGTAATAAAATAAAACTTCTTAATTTGCTGTAGGAGAATAATATTAAAGCAGGAATTAAACAGCAGTGAAAACAAGATAATTCAAGTCAAAATTTTCATGTCACAAAAATTTCACATTTCACAAAAGAGAAGCCTACATCAAGCACACATATTTCCTTGCAAGTATTAAGACTTCAAAGATGGGAAAAAAAAAAGAAACATCAAGGTTAGAGAATTTTAACTGCATTATTCGATGACATTACCTAAATCTATTAAAACTGGTAGAACTAGATAAGCATCAGAAGGTCCTAATTTCCACCACATTTGGCCTTTTTGCATGTGAAGCAAACACTCCCAGTTGCTGGTTCTTAAGGAAGCAGAAATAGAAACTTAAGTTTTGGAGTTAAATTCCTTAATTATGGTTCCTTTGTAATCTATGTATTTTTGACAGCTGAACATGTACGGAAGAAGCACCTGGCAAGGTGTTCCAAAGCAGAAGGAAACACATGGATTGAGCAGATGCTGACCCTGCCCAGTGAAGCTCAGCACAGAGATAGCTGGGACAGCAGAGATGGACGTGTCCACACCAGAGTGGGGAACCCCTGAGCTGGCATTAGCCCAATTCACAACCAGCACAACAGTGCTCCTGAGTTATTAATTCTCTGTGCCTGAGCTATCGACCCCTCTGCTTCCTACGGCCTGCTCAGCTTCCTCCCCCTTGTGTCCTCCAACCCATCTTGTTCTGTAACCAGCAAGGGCAGAATAAACTTAGATCAGCCTGTAATCACAAATTAGGCATGGCCTTGTGTGATGCAAGAGCAGAGCCATCTTAGATCAGCCTATAATCACAATTTAGGCATGGCCTTGGATGGTGTTTCTTGGATGGTCTCTTTAACCAAGTAACATTGACAGGACAAGAGGGAACAGCCTCAAGTTGTACCAGGGAAAGTTGAGACTGGATATTAGCAAAAATGTCTTCTTTGAGAGGATTATCAAGCATTGGAACAGGCTGCCCAGGAAGTGGTAGAGCCACCATGCCTGGAGGGATTCAAAAGACATGTAGGTGGGAGACCTGGGGACATGGTTTAGTAGTGGCCTTGGCAGTGACAGGTTTATGGGTGGGCTCAATGCACTCAAAGGTCTTTTTCAATCTAAATGATTCTATGATTGTCTGTGCTATCTCCCCTTCTATCCAAAGGCAGAAGAAATCATTACAAATTTATATGTGCTCAAAAATTCCTATTATTCCTTTGTCCATGACAAAGTGCTTGTCATGGACCACTATGGGGCTGCCTCATCCACTCCATCCCATTTGTCTGGTGAAGCAAAAGCAAGAGATGCAGAAACCCTGAAAACCCTTCCCATGCTGCAATTTACACTGTGAAATACTCTCAGAGGGGAATAAAAAACCACTTTTCCTCAAATGCTCCTGATTCCCTTATCAGGGCAGGTCTCAGACAAACTAACAGGTTACTCATCATTTACCTCCAGCCCACAAGAAAGTTGTAGTAACTTTACCTTTAGTTCCTTGCAGAACTGTAATTCCTGGGGTGTTGCCTTGATTGTCTTGGGTTTAATAAGCCTCCTGCACTGAATAATGTTTTCCAATTCTTTTCTTAAAACTAACAACAGAGAAAGAAAAGGAGGAATGTCACCAGCATGCAGATGTGACCAAAGGACTGCAAATGTCTAATTTAGGACACAAGGAAAATTTAGGAGAATATAGGCCTATAATATGTTCATCCAGGAATATTAACTTTCTATCTTGAAGTAGAAACCCAGAAAGGAACATTTTATTATGGAAAAAGTAGTATGTGATCACATCACTGCAGAATAATGAAGAGGTCGATAGCATGGTAATGCAGTGGTCATAAATCTGGCCTTTCCTAGCTCTGGGCATTGGGATTAGCCATGAAAATAACACACTTCAAACCTATGTTTTTGTGCAGAAAGTTCAGGGTTCCTTTAAAGACAAAAGAACAAAAATTCTCTTCTATGCAGCAGTGAGAAACGTTGTCATTTGGCACTGAGCACAACACTGGTCTGCTATCCTGGGAGCTCCCACTCTGGGAAATGGGGGGAAAGAGCTCACTGGCATCTCATGGCACTGTTCAATGGTGAGTTGTAAATATCTCCCCAAACCAATCTGACATTTAAACAACCTTATTCTCTTCCCTCCTCCCGACTTCACTGGTGTTGGACTCCTTTCTAGAGAAGGAAACCAGTTTGGTTCAAAGAAGTTCTTGAAGTCCAGGACTGAGCTGCAGGAAGTTTTCTCCTGGTGCATTCCCAGCTCCCAGAGAATCTGCTACAGCTGTGACTTTGATGGAGCATTTGTAGCACTTAACATTTGTACTCTATGATAAACTCTATTTACCATCGGCAGTATATTTATTTTTAATTATTTCTAAACCACCTGGACACACTTTAATATTTCTTTTTTTTTTTTTTTAAATTCTTTCTAGGTAACATGGCAGCTTAAGCATCACCATAGCAACACTTCACCTCAACGTTTTGAACCTTTACCTCTCTTTACAAACTACAGAAGTGCAATGAAAGCCTGTTCCAAATGACTGCACAATGTATGAAAACCTTTCTCTGGATGTAGAGACCACATTTACATACCATCAACTTCAGCACTGAGTCCCTTCATGGAAGCTGGAAAGGAAGAGAGGGGGAAAAACATGTTAAGAAATATCATTCATATCGTGAGGATGGGAGTTTCCACAGAAGCTGAAGGACTTTATTTTTTATTTGTTGATTATTTTTCCCCCCTCCCTCCTCTTACCATCAGGAACAGCTTCAAATTCTGTCAACTCCTGAGAAAATGTGGCCAGATCAGGCTCATGTAAGAGGATCTGTTCCACAAGGGCGTGAAGCAAAGTGAACGTCCTCTCTTTACCCCTCAGCAGAGGTAACTGCAAATAAACCAGAGCAATGATTGACATACTGAGCTGTTACACCTTAATAAATAAATAAATAAATAAATAAATAAATAAATAAATAAATAAAAGAACAGCAGGGCTGTTGATAGTTCCCAAGTAAGCTTGACAAGAATAGAACACAACAAAATTAAACTTCTCCTTTTCAATCTGCCGTTTCACACACATTCTTGATTAAGATCAGCTTTCCACTTCCATATCCCTTGACCTTGCTTGTTCTTCTCTGTCTTATTCACACAGATCTTTTTAAACTGAAGGTATCCTAATTGATTGCAACTGATTTTGGACCTCCAAGCAACCACAGTCATTATTCCTTTCCACTCAGAAGTAGTGTGCTGTGCTCATGAAGAGAGAAAAGTTCCTTAATTGAATCTGGGAAGATGCTCTGTGGCAGAAAAAGATTTTGTAGGCATTTTTCATTATGATAGATGTGGTATTACAGGCATTATATATATAAAAATAATAAAAAAAAGAATGCAAGTTTTGTTTCAGAATTGTCACTAGACTTATAAATCATTCACTCATATATTAAAGTCTCCAGATGGGAAAGATATCTTATAAAAACAAAGTAAAAATCCTTCTCTTCTGTTTACAGATGAGGCATAATTTTACAATACTATTAAAGGCACAAGCAGCTTAGGAAATTTGTATCTGTTTCTTACTTTTTAGGTAAGAATATTATGCTTTGCAACTGCTGGATGGAGGAAGGGGGAAAAAACTCCTATTTTCAGCAGCAGCATTTTCTGATGGCAAATTCTGATGAAGAGGGGAAAGCAGGTTGCTTAAAACTAATGGAAAACTCAGGCTAATGTCACACAAGTGGTAGGTCAGTGAAGAGGCAATTAGAGAATTAAGAGCTAGATGATGCTTGTTGTACAGCAGCTCTCTGTTAGGAAAGAGTGAAGACCACAACTTCAACTTTCATCCCCTATTAATCATCCAGCAGAGCAATGATGGGGGTTAAAAGCATTGCAGGAAATTTCACTCCCTTCCAATTTGTTAATTTGTTTAAATTCTGCTTTTGAAATTTTAATTTAAAATGGCCACGTACCAGTTGTTGCAAAAGATGCTTAGATTCATGGAATCATAGAATGGTTTGGGTTGGAAGGGACCAACCTCCCCATCAGGGCCTCACCACCCTCACAGGGAAGAATTTCTTCCTAATATCCCATCTAACCCTCCTCTCTGTCAGTGTGAAGCCATTCCCCCTTGTGCTGTCACTCCAGGCCCTTGGAAAAAGTCTCTCTCCATCTTTCTTGTAGCTCCCTTTCAGGTGCTTGAAGGCCACCAAGCCCCCACCCAGCCAGTGCTGCTGTCTGAAATGGGGAAATGCATCTTTTTATCACAGTCATTCAAGAATATAATGTCAAACAGGATTTTTAACAACAAGAAAATATTTACTCACTTTGGCCAAAGATGACAATCGAAATCCTTTCACCACCTCTTTTCCAGCCTTCTCATTTAGATGGTTCCCAATGGCTAAAATGTACTCCAAAACAGCAACAAACTTCTGGCTGGATTGCAGCTGCTTACTGGCTTGGATCTTCTGGTTTATCAGCTGAAAAACACACACAGATCTTCCTTCAGTTCAGATTGGAAGCGTGGGTAAATCCCTGTGCCGAAGCCTCACTGTCCCCACCTGAAGCAAGTCACACCTCACCAATGACATCTTCCTACTCAAGTCCCTCAAGGAAACAGGCCCGGGGTTTTTAGGAAGGACCAGTTAAAACTCTCCCACCCAGATAAAGCTGTGTTGGCACAGTGATTCTGCCCAAAAGGAGGTCACATCCTCTCTGGCTGCCAAAGCCATTTCAACTCATCTCTTAAAATGCCTCTGCAGAAGAAGTGTTTTGCTGTTTGAATGCACCAGATTGCACCAAATGTCAGGTACCAGGGGAAGCAGAGCCTGGAGCTCAGTGTGGGGCTCTCCAGCTTCCACCTCCCTCCCTTCTGTTTATACCAGCTGAAAACTGTTATCAGAATTCTTAGCACAGTTTCCCCCACAAGGAAGAATAATGATTTCCTGTAATCAAACCCAATATAATTCTGTTTTCCCAGGGAAGCCACCTCCCTTCTAAGGCTATGGACACAAGAGGTGGTTTTGTTTTCCACTAGGAAATTTGTATTTTTTTAGCACCACACCTCCTTTCGTCAGTCACCAACACACAAACTTAAAAACAGGGAAAGGTGGAAACACACAGGAGAGCTGAAAGCTGTTGTTAAAACATTTATAACACATCTCAGGGCCAGAGAGGGCTTAAAGCCAGTAGTCAGGTTGTCCCATAGAATTTTAAGTGTATATTCTATGATTTAAAAACAGATATTAGTGAGCATAAGTAAGAAAATACTTAGACAACTGATCAGTGAACATTCAATGAACATCAAACATCAGCCAAATCAAACAGTGCATATAATAACTTCTAAATATTCAGGTATTTGGCTTCATTGGAGGACAGCAAAGGCGTGGCAGTGCACCAGGCAGGGTCAGAAATCTGGGCATGTCCCCTGTGTTTTCCATCTGCTCCTCTTCTGAGCTTTGTCCACTGTCACCATGGTTTTAGTCACAGATAAAGGACAACAACTTGGTCTTGCAGAACTTTCACATTTTGTTTTCATTCTCATGCAGAAGGAGAGCAAAACCTCTGAAACATTTTCATAGAAGCAGAATCGTGTCAAAATACTTGTTTTGAGCCAAAGCATAGACAAAACCTGGCAGGGAAGGCAGTGGCTTGGAACAGGAAGGTCCAGTCATGAGACCGTTTATTTGCATCCCCTCCCCCTTAGGTCATCCTGAAAAAAGGCAGAGAGGGACTTAATCTCTGGTTCCTGATAGTTCAGTTCACTCCTGTAATCCTTAGGAGGAACACTCTCCTTCAGTCTTCTGCAAAGAGGAAATTCTCTATGAATTTCAAATAAACTTGCTCTATGTCTTTCAGCTTGATTCTTTCAGCTTGTGCAACAACCTCCCCACAAACTAAGTTGAATTTTAGTGGTGAAATTCACTTCTCACAAGTCAAAGAAAGAGGAAAGTTTAACAACACCAAATAAAAAATTTGAAAATCCTTTCCTGTTCTTTTCTCCCTCTTTTGTGGAAGTCTATTCCATTGCCAGGCCCATCAGCTACTGCTTCTTGCATCTTGGTGGAATAAGGATGATGTTAAATGCACATATTAGAAAAAAAAAAGGATCTGCATTGAGGTTATTTGGCCCTCTAGTATCAAAGGGGTAGATTTTGATGACAAACACACTGTGAAGGACTCATGTTACTCACAGGCTCCAAATCTCTCATGCTCTCAGGGAGCTCACGAACAGTGAGCAGGAGATCCAACCTCTGGCCCAAGTGAGGGATTTTACACATCTGCACAGAATTGAACAGAAAAGGAATCAAAACTCATGTTTATACCAAAACATGCACATATACATTGTAGTTTATTGAGCAATTCAGCTAGACCATAGTTTTCCTAATTTCTGTGCTCATTTCTTAATTTTATTTGAGGTCTGTGGATTTACTATGGTGCACACCTGAATGTGCACATTTGCATACGCAAATTCAAATATGCTGGTAGGGCCAGACATTATTAAAATCAATGACACTCCTTTCTTGTGAACAAGAATGTTTAATTACACACAATTTTCTGCTTGTATATTTTGGAAACCTAGCTCAGAATAAATCAGCTCCTACTTTGGAGCAAGGGGAGGGGGTGTGACTTGGAGAAGCAAAGGACTCCATAGAGCTCTCTTCTGATTATTAGAATATATTATCAGAATAATCTGAATATATATCAGAATAATATTATCAGAATAATCCTCTTATGCTGATTCTGGGTGAGTTGTAAATTTAAGTTCCAAACAACAGTGGTTTTACCTCAGAGAATGCCCTAGAAATGGCATGTGGTGACTTTTAATGCTTCTTACCTCTAACATAAACTGGTCAACCACGTGCAGCTCTGAACACGACCCCTTGAATGACTGGTACCTTTCTGCATCTTTTGCTGTTGGCATGTATCTGTAAAACAGGAATTAAAATTGAATGTCCTCTTCCTCTTCATTTTGTATTGTTGCGACATAAAACAATCATTCCATTCCATGCACTGGAATTTCTTACATTTAGTGTGGTTTATGTGTTGCATGTTAATTCTTTGATCAGTGGGACTCCTGGCTCTGCACAGACACCCCACCAATCCTTGGGAACAATGATCTTCTTTACCATTGTTTTTGCAGGTTTTTTCACTTGCTCAAATAATGGCAGCACATAACACAGACCCACAACTTCCTTCCTTCTGCACGAGGCCACAGAATATATTCTCCAGGGTCAGAACTCCAGGGCCACAGATCTTTAGAAAAATTGATGTCTTCAAATATTGACTCCACTTGGAAAAACAAACACATCACCACAGTTCTCCTTTGGAGATCTTCCTGCCTGTCTGAGTGCTCACTATGGGAATTCACAGCATATCTTCAGCAAAATGAAATCAATGTTATAGCAAACATATGAGAAGGAGTGTAAAGAATCTTAAATAAGTATTCGGGTCTATCTTCTCTTCAAAAAACCTACTAAATTTGTAGCAAGTGTGATTAAACATTCATGGGGATAGCTCTACATTTTCATTAAAAGTGATTTATTCAGAAATGGAAAAAATAAAGCAAATATTTTAAATGTTAAATACAGGACAAGAAGTAAGATTTTTTTTTTTTACTGTTGTCAGTAATTTGACATTTCAATTCAATAATGGCTAGGGTTTGAATTATTAAGTCTATATTAAAGCAGATTACAAAATAGTACTTTTTTCACTCTTTATCATAAAGAAATAATTGAATTCTCATTTAAAGATAAGTTAACTGTTGGCAAATGAAAGGGTGTTTATCACTGAAAAAAGTTTGACTTTTTAAGCAAATTCAAACAACGTATTTTTAAAAACTGACAGCAAATATCTTCATTTAATCAAATGTCTGATATTCCATAAAATTGTTTAGATGTCTTATGTATATAAAACAAAACCAGCAGATTATCTAGGAGGTTTAAAGCTTAAAGCACTGAACAATGGAAGCCATGAAAAAGGAAGCACAAGAATATGTGAATGCGTTCCATAAATATCTTTGTACATGAATGCAACTCTAATGGAATTTGCACAATGAAAAAAATCCCATTGCTCTGAAAAAAATTAAGAGACAAGGAGTGCTTTCCTATTGATTTTAAGACATCAGGATAAAGAATCATTCAGAGAATTATGGAAAGGTTTCCGTGTCAAATTAAGTCCTGAAGTTTCTAATAATATCCCACCACTGGACACATGAGCAGAACATTTAACTCAGAGGTCACAGTCTTGAAAATGTAATCTTGGGTTTGACTTTAAATATTTTTTCATTCTACAATAGTAGAATTTTGACTTCCTGCTCAGGCTCAGGCAGTCTGACAGGAACAATTTGCACAGAGAGGGATTTTCCAGCCCTGGATTATCCTGTTTGAACTCCTGTCCTGACCACAGGTTCTCCACCGACTGGAGGCCACAGTTTTCAAAGGTAAAGTTTTCCACCATGACACCAAAATCAAACGGAAAGGTTTTCAAAAGTGTTAAATGTCCTGCTAAATCCACCACAGCTCTTCGTACCAGAGAGACTTGGGAGTGCTGATGTTCCATGAGAATGTCTGTCTGCTCCTTTGATTTTCCACTTGGAAATCCGAGCCTTAATTCCGAGATGCATCTCGTTTATTTCACTCACACTTAAAACTGCTGGGGTGGAAAAAAATTATCTCCCTTTTACTGCAAGATTTGTATGTGCATTCCTAGATTTTGGCAATAAATAAGAATTTCAAGGACAGAATCCTTGAACCCATAGCTTGAATCCTTGAAGCCACATAACATATAGCAAATACAGCATCCAATATCTCTTACATATTCCATTGCTAGAAAATTTCCTCAGCATTATTGCTCTCAAAGAAAGACTTAAAGGAAAAAAAAAAACAGGATCTTTCAAGCTTCATTGCCATCATTATTACTATTATTATCTGATGGCAAGGAGCCCAGATGCTGTAAATCAGGGATCTCAGTGGTGTCACACTGGTTTCAGCAGCGTGGAGATCCTGGACTGAACCTGCAGTGCTGCAGGAAGAGGTTTCTTTTTTGAAGGAGCCTTTCAGATCAGTTTTTGAATGGCAGCAGAGCTCCATCACCCTCAGTGGGGCCATGCACCTTTCCCCAGCTCATAATTGTGCACCACTGGGGGGTGTAACTGGTAAAGCACTGGAGCAGCAAGGAAACGTCCTCCAGAACACTGGGACATAAAAAACATGTAAATATTCAGTTTCCTGCCCACGTCCCTTCACACTTGAGGCAAGCTCTGCACAAGTCATGTCACAGAATAACATTAATTCTATGTTAGCTGTCTCTTCTTGTGCTCACAACACTTCCTAAGTGCTCACATGATCCTGCAGATCATTTTAAAATTGCCTCTGATGTACTGATTTGGATCAGGATTTTAAGGCCAAGATTAAACTGATTCCATGAGAAGTAGAAACATCAATTATTTACTTCCTCACTTTCTTTGTCAGCCTCATCTTTTTCCCAGCTCACTTTAGCAAAACACTCTAATCTTTTCTCATTTTAAAGGAAGAAACAGTTTCACATCAAGTTTTCGTGTGTGAATATGTTTATTAAAGTAGTCCAAGTACCACATGGGGACTGGGATGTATAAGAGATACTACTCTAGGATCCCACTTCTTTCCTTTCTTTCTATGTCTTAAACTATTCAAAAAGATACAATGCAGTTCCTATGAATTTCATATAGTTTGATTACACTCCTGAAATCTCTTCAGTTTTGCTAAAGATACAGAAATTTGCATTCTGCTTTAAACCCACAAATCTCTGCCACTGACATACTGATATTCTTAACACCCCATCACCACATAAAGTTCCTTTAACACTTGTCTGCCTTCCTTATCTCCAAACCAGTCTTAAATCTTTCGTTTCTCATCCCACAATAGGTTGTAAGGCTGTAGTAAGAGATCCTGTAAAGTCTTCTCAAGTCAACACCTGCTCACTGACACAACTTACTATTTTCCCAACTCTACTCTTTGTAACTAGTTCACAAAATCATGGTGGATTTGCCATTGCTTTGCAACCCCCTTTCCTACAAAGATGGGGAAAAGTGATATTTTGGGGCTGTATTCAAAAATCTCAGTTGCAAGAGCTGATTTCTGTGTGCAACCTGATATCCACAGTCAGGATAAATCCAATGTCTCAGTCCATCCATGAGCTTCACATTATTTGCAGAAGGTTCTGCCTTCTCCAAAGGGTACCTTATAACATAAACAAACAATTGAACCCCCAAAATTACCTCCTCAGTGCTGTAATCTGCTCATCTGTGAGTCCACCACTCTCCTCATGTATGATGTACAGTTTTTCTTTCAGCTCACTTGGTTTGATACGGAAACTTTTAAGAAAAATGTCTGGAGGAAAAGGATTCTTAGATTACTTGGAAGGAAAATCACCAAAATATCTCATCTGTACTTATCAGATTTAAAAAAAAAAAAAAAAAAAAAAAAAAAGGAAGAGAGAAAGAAAAAACCCATCACAAACAAACAGGAAAAAAAGTAAAAAAAAACACCAAAATATTTAGTAGCTGCTGTCATTAAAGCAATAACTCAAACTTTGTATTTTCTTTAAATTTACATAATAGTAGTCAAGGAAAACCAAATTTCTTTCATAAGATAGTCAATGTTTAGGATAGAACTATTAAGATACCATTTTGGGAATGTACTCAATACTTGCTCATATGTATTTCTTTTGTACTCAGCTCAACAGTTAAAATCATTTTTTTTCCACATAACAGTACAATAAGTTGGCACAATATTTTGAAGGTTAAAGGAATTACACTTTCCATTTGTTTGGATTTTGTTTACTTGCTTTGTTTAATCTCCAGCAAGAAAACTTACTCCCAAAATGAAGGCAAACTAGGAAACAGAAGTGCTCACTTCTTCCTAAAATCCTAAAATCTGATGTTTTTGTAAAGTTCAAGACTTCTGTGCTGATACAGGGCTGGCTCATAACATGCATTATGACAGGAAAATGCAAATAAGATGCCTCTTCCCCAAAGAGGTGAAGGTCATCATTTAGACAAGTAAAAATTTGTAAGGATGTTGCTCCCAAAAAGACCACTTTGTCTTGCCAGTTATTCTTTAATTACTGTCTGTCTCCCTCATTGGTACTGGAGGATGGAGGTAAAAAAAAAAGAATCACAAGGAAGTGAACAAAGGGCAGCAGCAGAGAAAGGGAAAATGTTTAAATGCTTCCCATTGCTGGCACGAGACTTGCCCTGGAGTCTCTGCTACACCAGAACTCCTCTGAGAAGCATAAAGGGATTGTGAAGGAGAATTTTGGAAGGATTTGTATGATTTACCTTCTTTTCAATTCAATTCTGTAAAGGAACAGAGTTTTTCAGGTTAGAGGAACTTGCTGTGGCCCGAGGCAGCTGTTAATGGTTCTAGAGACTGTTGGCCAGTGGAGTACAGACCATTTATTCTTCCTCTGACACACTCTACACCCTCTGAATTTTGTTATAAGATCTGAGCTTTAGTGCTAAGCCTGGCAGAACTTTCCTTTTTTCCTTCTTGTGCTTTTTATGCCTCATATCTATTGCTTCCCTATGCCTTTTAAACTGTGTGTCTCTTCAGTGGTGGGGAATCACCATAACAGTGAATAACCCACGGTAAAACGTTGATTTTAAAATCTTCACAACCTGTCCAGAAAGCATTTAAAATTGTCTTGAACGTTTTCAGTAACTGATATCAAGACACTGAAGAAATTCTAGTCATCAGACTTCGTCAAAGTATTTTCCCGGGCAAAATAAGGATACTATGTGGGAAAGGGGGTCTCATACAGAGAAACAGGCAGCAATCAAGACACAGAAGCTGGTATTTTGACTTCTAAATCAGTTTTTCACCCATTAGATCTCATCTTCTTGGGTTAACATATACATTATAATGTCTCCCAAAATTTTGCATTGGAAATCTGAGGATGTTTTTCTTGTTTCTTCCCGATACCTGTTCTCTGTATGGCAGAAATTTATTTTGTCTACAAGAATCCACGAGATAACTTAGCTTTTATTTGTATTTTCTCACACATTAGACTCAAATTCAGTGTATAGATCTACTCTCAGAACTCTCATTTCTCTCTTGTGTTCAGAAACCCACTCAAATTCTCCACAAATTTTAACCTACTGGCAATTTTGGAGCTTCATCCTTTTATTCATTAAATTAAGAACTGCAGTTTGCAGCACTTGCAGGAAGATTAATCAGAATTCTAAGGATCAAATTAACTTTTGATCTAAGTAACATCCATTATAATAAGTGTATGCCAAAAATCTCACTGATGGAACTTTAAGGATAAGATTAAGAAACGGATGTGTAATGTCCCATTGAAAAAACAGTTGTAGGAGGAACAGGATCAAAAGGAGGAATGGTGCTATTTGCCAACCAAAAGAAAGAAATTTCCTCAAAGAAACTGCAATCATTTAGTAGATAAAAGTGCTATTACAAGATTCTTTTATCTGCAACAGCACTTCTGTATCACTCTCTTCCTTTTAACCCTTCAAATTGTTAGTCAAGGGATGCAATAATTCCAAGTTATCCCCATTTAAAGTTCCCAATTAAAACTTTACATGATCTCCAAAATACATTCTTTCTTATTAATATTCACAGAGAAGAAATCATTAAAACTTCAAAATTAACTGCCCCAAATTCTTTACACATGTAACACTTCTTGAAACATCTCTAGGTTATAGAGCTTTTTTGGAAAGCCATCTCTGTAACAGAAATCAGAGTGGTCTTTGAAGAACAATTACTCTTGCTCCTTTAATATCTACCAATTCTCATTAAAAGGATTGAAAGACCTTTACATCATTTTATTAGAAAGAGCAGAACTGTGTGTTGAACTCCTTCATTAGCTGTGAAAGACTGTTCTAGGTCAGGTCTTTGGTAGAATCCTGTGATATGAGAGGGAAGGATCCTGTTCAAGACAGTCATTCACAGCCTGAGCCTTCAGCCAGAGGAAGGCCAAGAATTCCTGAAACCTGGCTTGTAGCTGCCTCAAAGGCCTCTTATGCCAACACTCAAACTGCCAGCACAGCACTCAAACTTCTGGCTCTCCACCTGCTCCTGTTGACTTTTCTTCACCTGAACAACCCACAAAATTTGAAAAGCCTCTGAAGTCAGTCTTACATTGATTTCACAGGTGACACACATGATTTCACATGTCTGCTCTAAGACAACAACATCACAGCTCAATGGCACTTCCACATGTTTTGTACAAGAAGAGAAGAAGCTTTGGGCTTCACCTCTACATCATTAAGGACCACATTTGGAGCAACTCAACCATGAGGTCTTCTTTTATAAATCAGTAGAGGGGCATTGAATTAAAACATGATCCAGAAGTTTGTCTCATTGCCTGTTGAATGGCAGGAAGTACAAAGAGAAAATGTGTGCAATGTTCAGCCCAGCTCAGAGAGGAGAACACAGCTCTTATTAACACACTTACTGAAGTTATGTGCAACTTTTCGGTCTAACATGATGTGCTGATTCACTGAAGGCTCATTGCCCGAAAATACTGCTGTGTCCTGGATCTGGAACTGTTCACAGAGCCTGGATACATCAATTTTCTTCTTAAATGGGTCACGTGATCCCCAGACAGATTTGTGAATCTAAAAAGATAGGAGTGACACAGGGTAAACAGAAAGCCAGAACAGAGGCACTTTGTTCCATCCAAACACAGAGAAGGTCATTTTGTGGCACAGTTGTACTTTTATAACTATAGATGTAACACTATATATACAGATTTTTTTTAACAGCCACCATCAGTTTCATCCTCACCTTATCAGAAGGAACAACATCCCAGTGAAAGGCTTTGGTTCTCTTTGCTGCTGGAGAGAGGCTGCAGGGCTGTGGAAGGGCAGGAGGGGCTGGTGGTACCTCTGCCCTACTTATGGGAAGTGGAAGAGATGGTGATGCTGGCCCTCCTTCCCCCTCTGCAGGCTTTGTCTGGGGGCTTGGAGACTTGTTCAGACTGGTCCTTTCAGGACTCACACCAAAGTGCAGAGTCTCCTCTTTCTGTTCATTCAGAGGTACAATAAATTCCTCATAATCAGCTTCAGGGGAGGTGCATCCTTGAGATCCCTCCTGAGGCGGGGAGGCCCCCTGGCCCAGCTGACAGTACCTTTCTAGGAGAGACACCCATTCATTCTGGAGCTTGCCAACATCCTCTGGCCTGCTGTTTTGGACAGTAAAGGGTATTCGAAACCTGAAATTTAAGAATGTGGTATATAAACACAAGACAGTGTAAATAACATGCTGACTAACACAGCCACAGATAGTTCTGATTTAAGCAGAATGATATTCAGCACCTTTACTTGTCAAAGCAGCCCAGTGCTGCTGACTCTGACCTTTTCAGGCAAAGTTAATTGCTTATGTGTCTATGGTTAGAGAGCTGAAGTTTTGCCATATATTGACTTTGTGGTGCAGTTACCTCATAATTCCTCCTCTCCACCTTGGGGCAAGGTGAACAGCTTGTTACACCTTGCTGTGCTTGTTGCACAAGCAGAACCTGCTCACACATCTGTCCCACCAAGCTGAATGTGCATCTCCTCTTCCCTGACTCCTGCCATGACAACTAGACAAGTTGCTGTGGGCAGTATTTCAGTTTCATGATGTGGCACTTCTGATTCCTCCTGAAAATCCTCATCAAATCACTGCAAAGCAATGGGAGCAGGAATCTATATAATTCTGATGGCCTCATTTCTCCAGTACTCTTATTTTATTCTGAAACATTGAGGCCCCCTGTTGCTTGACCTTGTTTTCAGTACTTCTGCGTTAATAAATTATTAATTACCAACTATACTTACAAATAATTGTGATCTTTGGTCTGAACTGAAAAGGTGCTGCATCCATTCTCCTTGCTGACACTCACATCCCCACCTGACAAATTAATTGTGTTTGCTCCAGGGTCTGCAGTCCTGTTCTTTCCTCCCAGACCTATGCAATATAAAGTCAATTCTCCTTCACGTAGTTGCACCAAGTACCTGAAGGACAAGGAATGGACATACAGCTCATTCTTCATTGGTTGCTTAGTTACACAAGCTTTGCTTTTGTTAAGGCACTTCCTAAAATCAAAAACTCTCCACATTTTTACAGCATCTTCCATGGGACAGGCAAAAAGTATCAATGCTAAAGCATAAAGGCTTTGAGATATTCTTATTTGAGGGCTTCTTATTCTTATCTGACACATAAGTAAACTGACACCAACTCTGAGCAGCCTGCCATGCCCAATGAGAGCTGAAACAAAGATCTGACCATCAACTAAAAATCACCCAAGTCCTGTTAATTTTTTAGCCACGCTCTGTCCCTCCCACTCCACTTATTCCTCTTGTTTGGGAGGGTGGATCACTTGGACTATGAGCTTTTAAAGGAATCCCCTGTGTGACTGAGCAGTACATAATAAGACAAGGCTTCAGAGCTTCTGTGTCTTCCAGGTTTCACTGCCCCCAAGCTATAAACAAGTCACCAAATTTAGTTCCCAGTCATATAGGTCAATATTCCTCCCTCCCAAAAATCCTATTACTCCATGGGAACTCAGGCTGGTCCCACAAGTCACTTGGCAGGAAAGGGACAAGGCTCAAGGGCTTCCATCAGAAATGACCATGGCAAAATTTGGGTGAAACCTATTTAAAGGACAAATTAATCTTGGAAAAACACTGTCTTGACCATACACAGCTTGTAATTCAGCAGAACCTTCTGCTTTAGTCTCCCCTCTGGGATTCTGTTCTGCTGCTCAAAACAAAGGTCCCCCATTCAAGAACAGATGAGGTTTTACTGTATATGGGTTTAATTCTTATTTAAGCATTTGTGGTTTCATTTTTCTTGAGGATTTCTGCCTTTCTTTATCATTCTGACAGTTCTATCAAACCTTCCTTTTCCTCCACTCTCTCTTTAAGGTGTGGCTGGTTGATTAAGGTGTTCTATGAGAAATTTAAATAAGTTTAGCTGCTCCAGAAGAATTAAACATAAAATATAAATTGCATCTATTCCCACATAAACAGTCAAAGTGATAAGAATTGTTTAATGGAGCTGGCAGTTATATTGATCTCTCCTTTCTTTAAGGCAGAGACTTATAGTTTAATCGGATCTCCAGATGCTTCCACCATTATTTACTTTGCCAAAAAAAGCAAAAAAAAAAGGAAAAAAGAGAGAGGATTAATATAAAGAAGAAAGCAACAAGGGCTTTGCTTCACAAGATAAATAAAAATCAATTTTTGTTTGTTAACAAACTTGTTAACTGTTGCAAGGTAACAAATCCTGGACACACTTGAGGATAGTGTTTACAAGACATGCAGGAGTAGCCTTTTAAAAACAATTAAAATCATTTTCTGTGGAGGGTGTTGAGATAATTGCTCCATGCAGATAATTACAATGTTAAATTTTTTCCCTTAGTTTTGCTAGACAGACTTTTTTCCCCTCTCTCTTTCTCTCCTTTGATAAAATAAGCAGTTTCCAGGTATTTTAGGAGCTGGCTCAGGGAAGGGTGATTTGTCTGTGGAATGGGGAGCAAACTGTGTAAAACCACTGGGGCTGCTTCACTAATCCAGCAACAGAACAAGCAGAAGCAAAAGCTCTGCTGATCTGGGATGGTTTAGGGGTTGAAATGGTGATGACAGCCCATTTCCTACTGAATAATGATTCCTGTCTCCAATCCCACCACCCTATCAGGCCTCCATGGCTGGTCACCCCCCAGGAGGGGAGTTCAGAACATTATGAGAAGGAATTATGAATTTTGGGGCAGCCATTTGGCCAGTGTGAGTCAATGTTCTCTAGAAGGACTCATACTTCTCCAGCGTCTCCTTGTCCTTATTACTGAGAGTGGAGGGAAAAATAAAGATATAAACATAAAGTCCCACCATTAAAATCCCTCTGAGCACCATCACCATTACATATTTGTGTTGCTAATGGACCCAGCAGGCTCCAGCACACACCAGAACTTTGGTTTGTTGGGACCACTATTGCACTGAAAGTTTACTTTAATGTTCCCATCTCATGCAGATTTGCCATCCACCTTTTAACTTTCAAAAGCAATTAAATAATTAACTCATTATCAGCAAATTAAAGTCTTAATGCATTTATCAGAAATTTTAACGAAATCCACAGCCCAGAGTTCATACTTCACCCATTCAGTGGATGCAAAAGTGTTCTGCTGCAAATCCAGCAGCCCTTCATGTATCACATCCCATTCTGCAGGTCTCCCAGAGCAGGACTCCACTGGTCTCTTGTATGAATTGCTCTGTAAAACTCTGCTCAGGAGGTATATTATCTAGACAAAAAGTGGCAGCAGAGAGAGAATACTTTCCATGTTAATTCCTTTGAATAAGACATCAATAGTTGGATTTTTCAAGTCCAAAGATGACAGACAACACTCTAAGCTGCAGCCAAATAGGTAAAACAAATGAACATAAAATAAGTAATTTATGCTAAACTACTTAACTGCAATTTGGCTTTATGCCCACAATTCTAAACCCATCAGTGTAAGGAGAATACAATTTTATTTTGAAGGGATTACTGTAAAACTTTACTTTTTTAACTCATACACAAAGCAATCTAGGACAAAGTGTCTGTTCAGATCAGCTCAAGTCCAAGTAGCACCCGATTGATTAAGTTGGAAACCTCAGACAAACCCAGTACAAAATGAAGGTTTGGCTACAGTGGAAAATATTATGGATTAAGGTGAGTGTGAATTTAAAGAGTTCTTTGTGCTGTACAGGGCCATATCTGATGTTCTTATTACTAAATACATGTTCCTTTTTGAGCTCTTCTGCTTAATAATCTGTTTTGAACAAAATTAGGCCAATCAACCACGAGGTTCTGCTCATCTGGAAGAAAGGTTTCTGCATGTGGGGTGAATCGCTGGGTTTTGCAGGGAATTAATCTTTCTGGGGAAAAAAGCCCCCTAAGAATGAGTCACAGCAGAAGTTTGGATGCAAATTCTTCCATGAGGTTTAAATTTTGTACCTCATCCTAAATTGTGCAGGATGGATTCAACGACACAAACTCCAAGAGCTGCCCACCCCTGGACACCTGCATTCAGGTGAAAAGCTCATGACTTGGCTTTCTCATGTTTCAGTAGAACTCAAAAGGAGCTGAAATCTCAAAGTGAAGCAGCTCATACAAAATCTCGCAACACTGAATCATTCAGTTAAACAATTAGTTGTACCTAGACTTCATTCCTCTGCTAATTGTGTCATTTCAGCTTCTTTTGATGGTGAAAGATTAATTACTAGGTCTTCTTTTCACAGCATCAGGATGACCTTGTTCATTATTAAAAGCAGGCATTTTAAGAAGTACCTTATGCAGAGAATAAAAACTGCTTAGAAAGTTTCAATTAAGATTCAACTGTACACATCACCAGGGTTTTTTTGCTTGTTTTCATCCACTCTCAGAGGGGTTACATTCCAGGTGTAGTTGCAGAACTGCATCCACTTTCATATCATGTCTCGAGCTGGCTTTACATCTGCAGTCCCAGTGAACTGTGCCCAAATCCTAAGGCCAAACTTTATCTTGAACTCCCGTCCCCTTTGTTCTGAGCACAAACACACACGGAATAAAGACATTTCTCCTTTTTTGCTCGCACAAAGCACAGCATAACAATGATTGGGACCTGCTGGGTACCACCAGCACATCAACTGTTATTTATAGCAATCTGTCCATGGCATTATAAAAACTTACCTTCCTTTTATCATCAAGAGACACAGCTTCCAGCTCATAATCTTGTCGCCCATGAAACACAATGCTGAAGCGCCTCCTTTCAGTGTCTTCACAGGCTTTGACTTGAGAGAAAGGGAACTGTTTCTTAATAATTCCTTTTTCAATGTTAAAAATGGTCCTTGTGTTGAAATCAATCTGGAATAGAAGATTCTTCATTACTTGACTCCATCGCTTCTTGTCACAGAAAGGCAAAGACAACATCCCAATATCACCATGCAAAGGCATTTAGGGAAAGGACCAGCTCAGAATAAATAGGATAAAAAAATGACATTCCATCATCAAGATGGAATTACCACTGTATGGTAATAGAATATTTGTTTTAGTTACAAAACAGATATTCCGTGCAGATGTGTTTCCCTGTCTCTTTTGATGAATATGTATCAATTTATCACTCTGAAACATTACTTGTTTTTAAATTCCCCTTGTCTCATACAACCCAGTGCAGAATCTTCCCATTCAGCAGCACTGGTAGCAAGAACTAATGGCAGGACCATCCCAGCAGAGGTTCAGTTACTCCTTCAGCCTGTGCCCCAGCACTGAAATGCTGTGAGGGTGGTTATAGCAGCAGCTTCCATGTTAGGAAAAGAGGGGACTGTTGAGGGATTATTTTCTGATATAAATATTACTGTGTGTTGATTTAGATCTTGCCTAACATATAGGTTTTTGACACAGAATCACAGAATGGTTTGGGTTGGAAGGAGCTTAAAGAACCTTCCATTCCACCCCCTGCCATGGGCAGGGACACCTTCCACTAGCCCAGGCTGCTCCAAGCCCCATCCAACCTGGCCTTGGACACTTCCAGGGATGGGGCAGCCACAGCTTCTCTGGGCAACCTGTGCCAGGGCCCCACCACCTTCTGAGTAAAAAATTTTCTCTCTTAGTTTAAAACCATTCCCCTTGTGTTCTCTTACTACCTGCCCAAGTAAAAAAATCCCTTCCTCTCTATTTATACACATATATATATGTACAAATAGGTGGAGTAATAATAGCCAATAAAATAACTTTAGTGCAGTTTCATGGCTATAACAATTAAAAATTGTTTGCTTCAAGATGAGATCCTTCTTCTTCCACTGCCCAATCTATATTTGCAGGGCTAAAAACTTGTATGTGCTGCCCATGCCAACCAAATGCCCACACTGTGGCCTTTCCCTGCCTTCTGTTTATAGCTGGAAACCTTCAAAGCAGAACCATTCTCATTATTATCTCTGACTTTTGAAGGCTGCTGTTAAACTAGAGAACTGAAATTAAATGACTCCAGATTCACAGACTGATAACTTCCACATCTACTACAGCTCTCTCCATTTTTTTCCATCAGTTTTATGTCTAAAGAAATAATCTTTTAGTTCCAAAACGTGGTGGATGTTGAGGGAAATAAGGAGATTATACATTCTACAGTTTAGATGTAGTAAATAAAAAATACCCTCTAGCATATGTGATTTGGACTTGCTCATTTTTAAATTTTGTCAAAACTACAGGAAAACTCAGTGAAATCCAGGTCCCTGGAAACAACATGAACCCTTTGTCCCTGACTTCATGGAATCAAATCACCATCAGGTGTTGTCAACACAAGTTTGCTTTAATATCATGCAAGTCAATAAAGTCTTAAGGGTTCATGATATCCAAAAAACAATTCACAGGGTAGAGTAACCAGAGACAAACTGCACAGTCTGCCAAATGCACCTTGAGTATCCCAGGAATGTTTCTTCCCAAGGTTTTAGTGGGTGCAGTGGAAGTGATGTCCTGTCAAAAGGCACAGATATTTAGATGTGTTTACATCACTTGTATGCATTTACTCTTGGTAGTTAATAAGAACAACTCCCAGGCAGAGCCCATTATCATCCATCACCCTGGGGACAACTCATGTTTTGCGGTGGTGAAATAACCTCTTAGATCATCAGGTCCCCTCCACAGCCCTCCCAGGGGCCTCAGTACAGGGAATGGCAGATATTACCCTCAGAATACTTCTGGTGTAAAAAGTAGAGATTTTTTTCACTATCTTACACCTCTCTGATGGGCTGCTGAACCACAGGATTTTTTTTAAGCTGTCCACTAACATTAACCCAGCAACTTCAGCATAATATATTTTTATGTATTGCTCCAAAAGGGATGATCTTTCAAGTTACCTGCAAAATTCGCTTCTGCCACCGATAGTGTTTGTATTTGTAGATAATGAAGTTAAATTGTGATCCAGTCAACAAATCCTGGGAATCCTGAAAAACAGAACAGAAATCAGCCATACATCCAGCTCTGGGCTAAAGTTTGTCCACTCAAATCCAAACACATTCTCAGGTGAAATGTCCCTCAGTAGACAGTGTTTAAACAGCTCTAGAGGCTCTGGAGAAGAATTGCACATGGAGATGCACAGCAGCATCCTCCTGGCCTTTTTTAATCACATTAACAAAGATAGAGAGAGACTGTTTGCAAGGGCAGGGAGCGACAAGGGGAAATGGCTTCACACAGGCAGAGAGTGGGGTTAGATGGGATATTGGGAAGAAATTCTTCACTATGAGCATGGTGAGGCCCTGGAACAGAGAAATTGTGGCTGCCCCATCCCTGGAAGTGTTCAAGGCCAGTTTGGAAGGAGTTTGGAGCAACCTGGGATAGTTGAAAGTGTTCCTGCCCCTTTTGCGGCATCGACACGGAATATCCATTCCATAGGACACAGGCACCATCAGCCATCAGTACATGTCCTGTTTTGTTAGAAACTTGAGTGCATTTGTTTGCACAAGCTGGGATTGTACCTTTGAAAACAGTACAGACATGCTCCTAGTGCTCATACATTTGAATATCTCGCAAAACAGATCAGAGGAGTGACCTTACCTTCTCAGTATACACCTCCTTCTGTGCCAAATGCAAAGCCCCCTCAATGCTCACTTCTTTATTTTTCACCATGTTCATAATTTTGAGGATCTTTTCCTGGCTTAACTGGAAAATAAAAAAGTCAACCAAATGTTTTTAGAGACTGCTTTTTCATGTGGATGTGGAGGACACAGAGGGCTCGTGACAGTTACAGCTCTAGTGTCTGCCATAAAATTACAATTTCATTCATATTTTATGTTCTATCGACAACCTGCCCAGCAAATAGAAACTCCCTTTGAAACCTGGTAAAAGTCCACAAGATAGCAAATACACAGGAGTTTTTACAATTTTAGGGGATGGGGTGGTAATATCTGGAGATAAAACTGCCGGGGGAAACCTTTTTTAGTTAGAGTCTGGCAAGAAGCGAAAACATCAATTTTGCTTGCTCTCCTGTGTCTTACCCTGAGTGTGAAGTCCTGTATACCAGATAACTTGAAAGAAAAATCAGGAGAATTTTGAAATTTTCAGGGTGAAGAGGGGGCAAACTGTTGTTGGTAGCAGGAGGTGCAGCTGTCCCATGAACTTAGTGAACCACGTTAACAAGTCGGTGTTATACTTCCCCTTTCTTTTACCAAAACAGCTTCATGTGCTGCCAACCAGCTTACACACAAATTTCTGTCACTCTTGAGAGAACCAGGTGGGGACTGCAATGGCAAACAGGAACCAAGCAAAGAAAAAAGGCAAGTGGAGTCACCAGAGACCCAGAGCTACAGCTGTTACACCACTGGCAAAGCTCTTTCACAGACTTTGTAGCAGGAATAAACCTTCCTTTGAGACAGACCAAAGAGCTCCCGTGTGTGATATCCATTCTTCAATAGCAGTAGAATCGGGAATTGGAAAGGAATGTGTAGGTTTTACCACCAGAGCCCAGAAACTCGTGATATTTTATCCAGTAGCTCCACTACTCAGTTAGCTACAACATCCGATGTTCCCCTCCCCTGGGAGAACAACTTCACCACCAGGAGAGGAGTTACTGCCGTGAAGTCTTTCTTTGCAATCATCCTTTTCAAACTCTTCCAGGTGGGCATCCAGGCAAACAGCCCACCCCAGGCTGTGCAGGAGCAAGAGGAAGGGGCAGGAGGCTTGGGAAGGAGCTGGAGCTCACAAGGCACCTGCCCTTGCTACGTCTCTCTGCAGATGGAGCATCCTCTGCTAAACAGCCCAGCAGCACAAGATCCTCTCAGAATCACAGAATCATCAAGGCTGGAAAACACCTCCAAGGTCATCATCCAACCTGTGACCCAGCCCCATCTTTTCACCCAGACCAGAGCACTGAGTGCCACGTCCAGTTGTTCCTTGGACACCTCCAGGGCTGTGTTTCTTGAACACCTCCACCCATCCAAGCACCACAGCCACCTGACACAGGTCTGATGGGGCACATAAAAATAACCGGTCCCACCCCAGAGGTGGTAAATCCACATATTCTCTCCCTTTATTCAAACCATGCTACAGCAACCACACTTCAGCCTACTAGATTTCTAAAATCTGAACCAGTGTCTGACCGACAGACACACTGTTTTTACAGCCCACAAATAAAACCGGGAGTAAAAGAAATATTTTGGTTTTAAAAAGCCTTGGAATTTTCAATGCTAATATAAAGGTAACTTATGGCATAGCTCCTAGCTGCCAACAGTAATGTGAACAGTGAGGGAAGCAGGAAAACAGCCTGATAATTCATTCACACTTGCAGAGGCACAGGAGTTTCCTACAATGACCTCCACATTCGCTATTTGAATTTTAAACGGCCATATATTTACAACCTCACATGCACCGAGTAGGATTAGATCTTAACAAGATAATTCCCCACTGAACAGGCTCTGGGTGAGTAAACAAGAGTATGGATATATTTGGATTGAAAAATATAGTTTCCTTAAGGCTAAGCTCTGCCAGCTTTAAAATGCAAGATCCTATTTATTCAGGATAGCAGCTCTTGAGAGGAAGTTGTAGAGTATTTTTGCCTGTTAGGCCTTTTTGACATGGAGAAGGGTTCAAAGATTTTTGCAGCAGGATGACAATTTTTTTCAAATTTAATTTTTAATATATTTTTTCTTTTAAAAAAATTGTAGAAAGAAAGGCACCTTTGGCTCTGTGTAGTACTCAACTCTTCATTCTTCTTACCTTCACCGAGGTCTCCTTCAGACTAGAATAAAATTCTGCCCAAGACATGAAAGCAACAGGGAACAGCTCTTAATTTGCTTGATGATGTATGAAGAAAGCAATGTTTACAGGAGAGAAACAAATAATTCTATGTATTTCAAATTCAGAGAGTTTAGTTAGGAACTTAGACCACTGACAGAGTCCCTTCCCCAGAGACCACACGAGGCAGTGCTTTGGGGAGGTTATTTTTAACAGCACTCTGTTGTTTTACTGCCTCTGTTAACTCTCTTTCTCTCTGCACATCTGTAAGCAGGAGGGAAACATTTCAAAAGACAAGAGAGGCAAAAAAGGCACTTTTCAGCTTATGAGAACTGTCAAAATTATTTGTCAGAAGTCTTTTTGACTCACTTAGGTTTTTGACAGCCACACGTTAACATGGTATTTTCACTTGCAAACAAGACTTGAGTAACAGATCCTGACCTTTATCACTGTGTATTTGCAGGAGTTTTCTCTCAGCATGACACGATTTTTGTAGTGTTCATTCTCGTGTTTGTTTTGGTTATATTTTTTTCTTAAAAGGAAAAAAAATTTGTCATATTATCCACCAAAATGCCACTAAGTTAGTCTGTGCTATGTTGCCTGATAGAACGTGACTGGGACACCCAAGCAGAATGTTTTTATACAAGGCTGGATCACAAAACTTAGAAAAAAATTAAATGCTTCTATTATAAAGCAGGCACATTAAGGAAATACATGAGATTGTGTTAATAATGCATTCATTTACCTGCCAGGTTAAAGCAGCTTGTTTAACACAGATTAAATTTTCATCACCCACCCAAAATTCAGCACAGCCACGCAAGTGATTTGGAACAAAAATCAGCATGCACAATTGAAGGAAGAGTGTGGGGCTCCAGATATTCTCTGGAATGAGAGGTGAGGTTTTTATATTTTTGGCCTAGACATGGTATTAAATGTGTTTAATGGTGAGACAGGAGATTTCTGGCTTATTCTTGGGCACCTGCCAACACAGCACTGCACATGAGCCCTTCCAGGGCTTCCTGCCCCTCTCCATTTACCCAGCACCAGTCTCACTGGAGCCCTCAGAGGACCTCCTGGAGGGTTTTACATGTAGTCTCCACACCATGGAAACATCACTGTAATGATTCCATAAAGGTCCCCTGACCTTCCTGGGACTAAATCAAGAAAGAAGGGTTAAAGCCACATCATCTGAGCCATCCACAGTTGATTGAGTAAGGCAGTGGAAGGCACACAGGATATGGGTAACTGCTCAAGGATAGCACAGCAAACATGTTCCTCTGCCTTTTCTTTCTGACTCTCAGCCTTTAATACACACTTGTTCACACCTCCCAGGCAGCCACAGGATGGTTGTGACTCCTGTGCACTCACCTGAGACACCTGAGCTTCTCCAGGGGGGGCAATTCAACCTGCCTTGATATCTGACAACTCTTTCCCTTCGCTACCCGCAGAGGAATTTGAGCTACGTGGCTTTTACTCAGCTTATCCTTATTCTGTGGACCATCCTGCCCGAATCATCATAATATGACAGCAGCCTAATGCAAAAATACTCCTGGAATGTGTGCACGTGCACACCCAGAACCCTGGCTGTCAGTGAGCCCTGCACAGGATCACAGTCATTGCAAACATTGGCACAACTCGCTGAGGCATTATTTCAGCATTATTTAGGAGAAGATCATAGCTAATGTGCACCCAGCTCTATCGTTTCCTGTGACAACAAAACCAAGCCATGCAGAAATCCTGCTCCCTGTGCAAATGAGGAGTGATTTTTATTCAAGTCTAGTGAAGCTTTTCGCTGTTAAGGATTCCTTACACTTGTCCTTGTTAAACATTAACAGTGTTGAACATCCTCATCTACTCGCTGCAAGGAGCAGGAGACACAGCAGCTCCTGGCTCTGCAGGGCCCAGAAGGGAGGGCTGGGCTCAGGGAGCCTGTTCCTCACACTCTGTGCTCCACAGCATCTCCCTTTTAGCCCTTCTCAGGTCAGTGCTCCAAGGGGGCTCAATACAAGAGAAAAAGGTCAAGTAGTGGCTACATGTTGCTTTACAGAGATCTCATGAACTTCTGGGCATCAATCTGAATGCTGGTGTTGTCCACGCAGCCAGAAATATCCCGGAGTAACATACACACTTCACATCTTTTATCCAGCACCAGGTCATGTTTTCATTCATTTTGGAGTCTGTTTTTTTAATACAGCTTTCAATAAAAGAAGATTTTGGTTTCTATCCAGAACAGCAGGATAAAATGTCTTTGAGGTAAAGCCTTCTGAGGATTTTCTGTTGACTCAGTGCCTCCCAGCTACAGTGCACAACACTTTCTGCTAAGCAAGTAGAGTAGAGAAGCTTAAAGCTAAGAGTTGGGATGTGATGCAGTGATTGACCTGTGATGAAATTTAGAGTAGCTACTTCCTTTTCCAAGCTGTGCTTCCAAAGAAAACACTTATTATTTTTTGTTAAATCAAAGGCACTGGCTTACTTTACAGTGGATTATGCTGAACTCATTCTACCTGCATGTTGAACATGTCATTTAAGAGATTTTAACGGCAGTGGACACAACTTGGGTTGTCTTAAAGTTCCAGTTTGGTGTTATCAACTTTCATCTCTTAATATATTCACTTTCATCAGGTTTGAACTTGGCCCAGAGTGCACTGAGTGCTCCCATTTATTTACAGGGGAGTGGCTGTTTCCTATGTCTGGGTATCTGAAAGGCCTTCACTGGCCATTTACATGGAATATCAATACAGGTGACTGATGTGATATTTTGATGTGGCAATACCATCTTCTGTAGCCAGTCCTAGAGACAGACTAATATTATTTGTCAAAGAGAGCTGCTATTCGTCACATAAATTATCCATCCATAATAATGTTTTGCATTATTTGTTCGGGTCTATATCGGGCTGAATAGTATCTGTCAACATTTATCCAAAGAAGAA